TTTTTTAAAAAGTACTCTAAACTGTATAAATAATGTAAAATTAAATTGAATTTATTAACCAATCAGACGAACTTCTGTCTATGAAATAATAGCTGACCGTAACCGACGTAGCCGACCGAACCATCCCTAATCGACGTAGCAGTTAATTGTAATTGTTACTGCGTCACATCGATCATCTCCTTCCACATGTTTCCGGGGTCACGTTTTACAGCTCACACTATCAACGGTCATTCTTACCGATAGGATGTTTCAAGCTCAGTATGTGAATGTTAGGGTATTGTTATAAGTTCTAATTATAATAGTCATTGGAGTAACTAAAATTGCTAATGACTAGTTTCCATTATGGTCGTGTGATATGAACATGTGAATTTTTTTTGCATTTGTATTTTGTGGCATAGCCACTTTGCAAAATATCACATCAAAAAATTTCACGTGTAATACAAACAACAACACAAAACTAACATGTTATTTCATGTACTGCTACGCAGACATGGAGTGCATTGACTCCGATGAAAATATATCCTTATTTTTCAATATACACACCAGTTGAAATCGGTAACGTATTTATTTTCAAGGTTTTTAATAACAGTTGTAAAAAAAAAAAATAACTATAAATAAATTTATCAGCTCAGCTTAAAATAATGATCGGCCAATTGTTTTTATAATAACTGATTTCTATGTTACTGATTATCTGAGGGTCGATCGCATACATCATATTAACCCCAGGTGAGCTATTTATTAAATATAAATCATAATTTATTTTTAAAAAAGCATACAGAATTTCATGCAACATAACTCACCAGGTTTATTTTAAGTAATCAACATCATGTGTTATTTAAGTAAATAACTAAATAACATCACAGGATGTTAATTTGGGTAAATAAAGTATGTCTTATGATGCTTGCAGATCCGAATCACACACATCAATCAACTCCTTTTTATGGCAATTTTTTAACGAACAGAAATGTTTAATATACAACCTTAAAATTGGTTCAGCTAAAATAAAATTTGGGGAAAATAATTTTAAACCCGAGTCAAAGTTACTCAAAATATTACTAATACTATTAATTATAGTTATATGGCTACTATTATAGCTTATCTGGTGATTTTAACTGAAGTTCTTAGTGCACAAACCCCATTGTAAAATGTCAGATTTTCGGGGGGTTTTTTTTTTTAACCAAAAATTTCAGTTCACAAATTAAGCTAAAATTCGGTCACCAAAAGTAAATTGATCAAAAGTATTTTGTCCCCAAACTTAAATTTAGTTACCAAATTACAATCAACGCTAAACCCGGAAAAAAATAACTCGCAACAAATTGCTAATTATAAAATTATAATGCATAATACTTTATATTTATCATTACAGAATATACCTTACAAATTAACAAGTTAAAAAATGATAACCTATCGCTATATTACCTTGAATTGCTAATTAAAAATGCATATGGTTGATAAATATTTTTTATAGTCACAAAAATATGTCAAATATTAAGTTAAATAAATTTAATTTTCGAAAACGTTGGGAAATCAAATTTAACCGAAAGTCGAGTTCATTACAAAAGCTGGGAATAATAAATAATTCTTAAGTGATATGTATGATGAATTACTTTTGATGAATTCGAAACTCTTTCTCTCATAATGTTCTATGCAAAAGATTAACTGTTCCAGGGATCTAGATAAATGCCTTTTCAGTAATGTAATATGGTGCATAAAAAGTTCCAATGGGAAAAGGTGATTTGATCATTCTGTACAAGGAAAAGAAAAGCGAGAAAAAAGCAAACTTTTAAATCGAAAAGCATGATAAAGAATAAATATAAATTGACCTTTATAAGGTATTAATATTAATTAATTGGTTTATAGAAAATGTGTGAAAAATGCGGTTACGATATGAATATAGCAAGTTAACTATGTTAATATTGAACAAATGATTTAACAATTAAATTTAATACATACAATCTATTAAAGAAGTATGAATAAAGTATCGACGATGGGTACATAAAATTTTTAATATAAAATTTGGTTTATTTGAAAGATGTTTAATAAAAAAGAATTTAACTGATTTAAACTCCGACTAAAATTATAAAATTAACCTCAATCTATTATAAATTTTTACTCAAATTTTAAAAGTAAAATTAGAATTAATATTAAAAATTAGAATTAGATTTGGAGTTAAGACTAGAATAAGATTTTTTATAATGCTGAGCATTTTACTTGGTGCGTCAAACATGGTTATTTAAGCCGTTGTTAAATTATAATTGCAACGGCTCCGGGGTAACTTCCTGAAGCTATTTTTCTAAATACCATTTTACTAACAGGATAGAAATGGAAATAAATCAATGTCATTTCACCGACAAGTGTTTTTTAAAAATTACACTAACCCTAACTCTATTTCTAACTTGACTCTAACGACAATGTCGGTGAAATGAACTGATCCAAATGTGTCTTTGTGGGCTTCGATAAAGTGAGCAATAATGATTAGCAACTCTCAAAAATTTAATATTTGTTTTGTTAAAAATTTAATTTTAGTTATTGTAGACTGATGATGTATCACTAATAATAGGACAAAGAAATTTTCTTTTATAAAATTTACAAAATATTTTTTACAATTAATTGTGATCCTGGACATAATAAACCTAATCAAAACATTTTCTTTTTTAAAAAAAACGACCTATTAAATTGAATTTTTAAAGCTTTTTTCTAATGTTTATGTTTTGTTTAATAGCTTTATAAATGAAAAGGATGGAGGCGATCTTTTTAATAAGTTATTGAAACTTAAGGGTACTATGATAGAGTATCACTTACCACATTACGAAACATTCAAGTTACTAGATATACTAGGTCTTTTTGATGCCTTTTCTGATTCACTCTCTGATGCCTTTTTTGATGCTTTTTTTGATGCTTTTTTTGATGCTTTTTTTGATGCTTTTTTTGATGCTTTTTCTGATGCTTTTTCTGATGCTTTTTCTGATGCTTTTTCTGATGCTTTTTCCGATGCTTTTTCTGATGCTTTTTCTGATGTCTTTTCTGATGTCTTTTTTGATATTCTAGTAAATTTTTCTTTAAGCTTAACTAAGAAAGATTTTTTTTCTGAGGACTTTCTGTTTGATTTTCTAGTAAATTTTCCAGAGGACTTCTCTGTTCGTTGGTCGTTTCCATCTAATATAAGATCTTTTGGAATTTCAGGGGCTTTTTGTTGAGAAATTTCAGAGACTTCGATATTTTGTTGAGAAGTTTCAGAGGCTTCGATATTTAGTTTAGAAATTTCAGACGTAAACATCAAAATAATAGTACCATTTATTTCCCGTGCAGGCAGGAATAAGAGGTAAATCCTCGGGATTGAGATTTACTGGCTTATTCCCCTGTAGTGGGAAATAAGGATGTTATTCTTCGTTTTATATGACGTCATGACGGCGTTTTTGGACATAAAAAATTGGCTATAAAAAGAGAATTGCGAATCTAATTTTTGATTTAATAACAATCATATTAAAGGAATTTAAAAACTTCGTTAACGTTACTATTACGCTGACTAAAAGAATTACTAAAGTTCTTTGCTCTATATAGCTATTGTGTTCTATCAAGAATTTTAGATCTTAATTTAAGTAGTATTATGTAACGGCTAACGGATTTTAAAACTTTCGCCAAGAATAAAACCATTATGCAAACTAAAAGAATTATCATCAAATCTTATTATATAAAAATTAAAGTGCACCCGGAAAATAACCACTATTACTTTAAAATTGGTTGCTTTTACTGATTAAAGCAGTGCTATAAGTCGAAAAACCCCGTCATGAGATCATATAGAAACGTGGAATAACCAGTATTATTTACCAATATAAACTGAATAACATAATCACACCTAATATTGAATCTGGATTTTGTTCTTCTTGTAACATAACTTCTAGCTGTCTACACACAAGATCTATAGTAGGTCGTTTACTTCGATCAAAATCCCAGCATCGTTGATACAGATTGTTAAATGCAGGTGAGATATTATTGTCGGGTTTTTCGCGCATATTTTTAAACACAATTTGGTCCACTAATTTTGTTTGATCAGTGACGCCTTCAAATGGAAAATTTCCACTAGATATTGACCACATTATAACACCCAAGCTGTAAATGTCTGATGCTGGATTAAGTTCCAAGTTTCGATTTTTTATGACCTCTGGATCCAAAAAAACTATATCTCTTTGTAATGATATTGACGATGAAACTTCAATGTTTAGTTCTAGAAATGCCGGATTTGATATTTTTACTTTACCATTATCTATAAAAATCATTCTTGTGCTCTTACATATATAAAATATTCAATATATTTCTAGCATATATAGGAAAGAAAAAATAGAAACAAAAATGAACTTACAAGTCTTTTATGAACGATTCCTATCTCATGCATATGTTTTAAACCATCTGCTATACCATTTGCAATTGTCAACTTTTCATCTCGCCTCGAATCATTGCCATGGTTCAAAATATAATCTTGCAGAGTACCATTGCTAGCATATTCTATCGTTATTAAGTAACTTTTCGTTTCTGTATCTTATGAAAGAAACATGGAAAATTATTGTATATAAATCCAATTCAGAAATCTTAATAAAATTTCATAAATTTTATTAGGGGTCCTTAAAAGTGGGCAAATTCACGGATCAAATGGGGACTTTTTTTAACAATGGTTTTCTTAATTAAAATTTTGCACATCAAAACTGTTATCTGGTAAACTCAAAGATCATGAATATTTCGTCTTTTTATCTTTTTGTGTTACGATGTAATGTTTAGTCAAACTAAAATTCAGACGATATCTCAATGTCAATCATGATCATAAGTTGCATTGCCAGATAACATAAATATTGGGCGACACAACAGGAGGAACTGTTAATGTTGCACAAAGTGAGGGATTATATCCATCACACTTGAAGTTGCATATAAATAATTTCGGTTTAACTGAACATCCCGCGTGAACGACGGGGTGAGGGATCATATCCATAACGTACATTTTAGAGTAAACTCAAAATAAATAATTTTATTATTGATTAACTACAACGTGTGAAGGATTAATGTGTAACATTGACGGTTTCTCATGTTGGCCATTTGCTAAGATCAGCATTTTAAACTATTTAAATATTCTCTAATGCTAAATTTTGTTAAGTTCGATACGTTAGCAAGCATATTTAATTAGGTCTGCTCTTTGAATTCATCGTCTACTTAAAATTCAAGAAAAAGATATAATAATCACCATTACAAATTCCAAGGAACTGAATCACGTTCTGATGCCTTAGTTTGCTCATATTGCGTATCTATTAATTGAGAATTTATAATTTGATTAGTTTATTAAAAAGGTCAAATATAAAAGCATTATATTTACAATATCATCAAATCTTTCTTTATCGTTTTGTATAAACTCCTTGGAAATATGCTTCATTACCACCTGCTTTCGAAAGTAAGCTTTTTGCACAACGCCGTAACCTTGGACTTTAGTTAAATTTTTATCCTCAATTCCTGTATTATCGAATTGATATGTATTATATCTTCTTAAAATTTCAATAAGTTCATTATTCACGTCAATTGCCATTTCAAATTAATTTTGGTTTTGAATATTGAAGCAAAAATAAACAATTATTGATGATAGAAGATAACTTTTAACGAAAACTAAAATTTTATATCGCAACTTCGAGAGAAACTATTTAAAAGAAATAACGGTGAATTTTTTTTTTTTTATTGGCATTTTTTTTTTTTTATTTTTATTTTATTTTATTTTTACTTAGATTACAAGAAGCTATTAAATATATACGTGCATAAATAAAAAAAAATTTTTTTTTATTATTCATGAATAAATAAATACTGCATAAATAATTATCACATTTACAAATTATAGTAACAAATATTGTGATAACAACATGTATAATCACGCTAGTCACTAAAGATATCCAAAATTTGTTCGGTATTTTTTATTTTTGTTAACCCGGCATTTTATGCTACCTTATTGACCAATACCCTACGTACTTCGTACTCACAATCGAAGGCGCAGTCACATGATATTCCGACCTACAACCTTAAAATTTTAGATGATTTTTTTTTTTATGACAAAGAAAAGGAAAATATTAATCCAAAATAAATATTGAATAAGACAAACTTTTGTAATTTAATTGAAGAATTATCACAGTATGATCTTAACATTCAGAAAAAAGGCACACACGACCTAAATTAAAACGAAGAATAAATTTACATGGATGCGGTTTTATAAAATATTGGATTGATTCAATATTTAATTTGTTATTTACATAAAAAAGGTTAATGCCTTATATGCCTTATTATAATTTTTTTTTTTTTTTTGTGAATATAAAGTATAAAAAAAAATATAAAAATACGAATGAGAAAGAAATCAGAACAAAAAAATTTATATTGCATATGTCATTAAAAATCAAAGGTTGGACTGCGCCCTCAATTATTGATGGCGCTTGATTTAAAACGGTGAAAAATAATATTTTACAATATCCCATAAAAAACCTTGTTGATCGTTAATTAATGAAGTTTTCTTTGTTTAGTACAAACGCTTTAATTCTGAAATCTCAATTAAGCAAACAATTATACGTATAACATGAATAATCAAAAATTAGAAGAAATCAGTCGCACCTCCCTAAGTGCATCCCGTCAGGACCATAGTGAAAAAAATTCAAATTTGGCACTTAGAGGAGGTTTGCACTTATAGAGAATAAAATGCATAGGGTTCATATAAGTTTGGTCAAACCGTATCGTGCATTTAGAGACGTTTTACATAGTACCTGCACTTAGAGAGTGGGCGTGCATTTAGGAGGTGCATTTAAAAATAGATCTAGATATTAAGAAAATGAATTTTGAATCTTTGTTACATATTGACTCTACCAATTCATGGCGTAATGAACTAATTTCACAAACCATTTAAAGGTTTTGCCACGTAGTAGTATAGAAACCTTGGTCTAAATTTTTTAAAACTATAATCTAATATTTGAACAAGAGTAGTTCATACATATTTAATTGAAATTTTAAATAAATTATCATGGCTAATTTGCAAAATTTTATTTTTAGCCTGGTTTTTAAATTTAGCAATAATAATGAGAAATGAGTTTGCTTTTCAATACTTTTAAATATTTAAGTTCAACAACATAGATAAAGTGTAAGTTTTACAAATCCACCACAATATTTTACAAAGTGTATTATTTATATAAGAAGTCTTTCATCAAATTTAGTTGATTTTATATTACTTCTTCAGATTCAATTTTATTCTAGAATCAAAGAAGTCGTTATAGTATTTTCGCAAAGTGCTTTCCTTTTTCTGATTCACAAAAGCCAGCATAGTATTTTTGTAAAATGTCAGGAAAATGATAGAGAACCATTCCATAAAGATTTAAAGAAAGTAGTGTGATGTTATTCCGGAGTACATCTACTCATGCTTTTCTCCTTTCTGACCAAGTTCATTTCTACTAAGATTTAAAAAGGTGGCAATTTTTGTAATGTAATTTGTAAATTTGAACACATGACATTTAGCTTTCAGATCAAACCTTCTGCGATTTATAAGTTACAATTTGGATTGACATTCAAATAAAATGATACAATAATACTAGTCAAGTTTTTTTAAATTTAGTACTTTATGTATAACGTAATGAAAATTATGAAATTTAAGTAAAATTATATATAATTTGTTAACTCAGATTAGGTTCTGTCGATCATTTCACCTAGATTAATCGACATCACCTGCATCAAGAAAATGATTTTTTTTTATTAGAGCATACTTGATACTTGATGCTTGATACTTGACACAAAACCTAGTTTTATAGGCAAGATTTTAAAGTATTAAAATTTTTTTTCATAATGTCAAAATAACATTTGAGTGCAAAGACATCATATTCTTGTTGAATCATATTTTAATATGCATTATATGAAGAATTTTTACATAGCATAAAGTCAGTTAAATATCTAGTCAAAAATGTTTATTAGAAACTAGTAATACGGTGACGTTTTATAGGCTGGAGCCTTATTATTAGGCTTTACAATTTAGAATTTTAAATAATATTTAAATTTCATGAATTGCTATTATTTTAAAATTATATTTATATAAATTCATAAAGAAAGTAATTTTTGTTCTTTTATTAATCTTTGTTGCAAATGTGCACTTTGCCTTAATTTTTGTAATCTGTCAAAAGAAAAGACACTATCAAAAATAATATCGGTAAGGGTATAAACCCATAATATACCTACAAATGTAAGACCTGTTGCAAATTCCTTATTTCCAATATTTATGACAGCTTGTGGTAATATTCAACCTTGTGACTTATGAATTGTAATTGCCCAGGCAAGACATAATGGATATTGCATGTGAGAGCAAATTTCTAATTTTCCCTCCCATGTGTATTTAATAAGTCAAATTAGTACTACCTGATTATTGTTTAATACAGATAACATTGGACCTGCATAGTTATCTATTTTGAGCAAAATGACTGTAGGTAATGAAAGCAGTAACCTTCCTAGTTCATATATAATATTAATGACTGTACTCATTGCTCTATTTACTAATCCTTGGTTAGTCCAGAGATTAGAAATAAGCATTATATGAGCCCTAATTGACAGAAATAGAACAGGCTCAAGACTATTTGTTGCATCAGGAGATACATTTCTAGTACCAGTACCACTATTAACAGCTTTTATTTTAGTGACAGGTTGATTAAGGTTTTTTAATTTAGTAATATTATACTTATCGACATGGTCCCAAATTGTAAATAGTCGAATAGCATTTTTAAATGTAGTATATTCTGTTGGTAACACTAATGTGTAAACTCTTATTTAGTAATTGCCAATCATTTTTAGTAGATTTACTATCTTGCAATCACAAAAAAAGATTATAAAATACTTGCTGTTCTTCAGAATTACCAGCTTGTCACTGTATTGTCTCTAATTTAAATGCCTTATTAAATTCAGCATAGATCTTACAACCTGCTTCTAAAATATGATCATGTAGTCTTGAATCTAACACATATATTGGAAGGTCCATAACAGGTGGTAGTTGACTGAAATCACCAAAAAACAACACAGAACATCCTTCAAATAGCATGTCTTTATTTTTGTAAAAGGCTTGACATAAATATTAGTCAATTATTGAAAGAAATTTATGACCAATCATACTTTTTTCATCAAATAAAATGATTTTAACATTCTTAAATGATCATTGAAACTTTTTTAAAGATTTAGAACTAAGTTCTATATTATTAAAATTTATAGATATTTGAAGTGCAGAGTGAATTGTATGACTATTTATGTTGAAAGTCACAATGCTAATTGGTGCAAGAACTAATATTAGTGGTTCCTCTTCTGAATTAATTCTATATTCTTGTACTAATGCCAAAATATGATTGCGAATAGCTTTAATAACATATGATTTGCTGGTACCAGCCATATCCATAACAATAGCATATAAAGGTTCTATTGAATTGATTGACTTTTCCTTAAGAATTCTAGAATAGTATATAATTACATAGTCATAAATCTGTGCTTGTGCCTTGTTTAGTGTGGATGGATCAATATACAGTTTATTATCATTATGAACAGTTGTCTCAATTTGACTATTTTTAGCATATTCTAAAAATGTTTTAACATCATCGAGATTTGAAACAATTTCTAATAATCCCAACCATATATATTCAGTATCAATATAGCATTCTTCAAGATCAAATGAATTATTTAACAAAGCCTGTACATTTTTTTCAGCTATTCGCATTCATGGGTCTTAAAATTCAAGATTATCTTCTTTAAGCTTTTTGTATTCATCAACTTCCTCTTTATCTTTAGCATCCACTGGTTGACCAAGAAGATTATTACCATCTGCTTCAATTTTATTAAGATTTTGTTGATATACCTCAATTTATTATATCTTATTATTATTCTGAAAAAAAATCCATTATATTTTGGTAAGGAATATGGAGAAGTACTTTTTAATTTACAATAACCATTCTAATCTGGCCCTAAACAAAAAGGTAATGGCTGAGGCCAAATTCGAATAATACAATCTTTTTTACATGGGCTCCATTTGTGTGTATAAGGACTATGTATAAAGTTTTTATACAGATTAAATAGAAAATAGTTCTCAAATGCAAGAGAACAATCCAATAGATTTGCAGTTAAGAAAGTCTCAATTTAAAGCATCTTGTATGTTATTACTCTAAATTAATTTATGCAATGTATCATTCTCATTAAGATTATGAATAAAAAATGTGTGTGATGATTTGACCAGTGGTAGCTTTAATAAAAGATTTGATGTTTTCTGAGTGGAAAAATCATGTTCTAATATAGTATGTAATAAGAGTCATTGAATAGATTTAAGTGCAGGTTTATCAAACTTTGCATTATAAATGCCAGTAGTAAACATTTCGTTAAATGCAGCTAATCTTGGTTCTGACTTTGCTACATACTTTGCAATATAAGAAAGAGCAGCATGAAGGGAAATAATAGGTTTTTTATCAACATTAGCCCTCCAACCTTGAAGCTGAATATGACAATATGGATTAAGTAATAGATCATTGCAATGTAATAATAACTTTGGGTTGTTGTGCTTATTAAATTGAATAATAGTAGAATCATGTAATTCTTTAGGATAACCAAACTGACATTCTTCTAGTTTAGTATTTTTATTTACTACAAGACAATATGATGATAAGAATTTTTATATTTTTTTTTTAAAATATTAGCAGTAAGGCTATATCTTTAACTTTATTGAAATTCAATTGAAGTTTTTACAAAGAAAAGCTTGCTTTTAAATTACATATGAAGAATAAAGA